GCTGGGAGAACACTGTGGATGAGGGAGGAAAGGTACAGCACAGTCTAGCATCAGTGGCCTAGACAACCCCATGCATCCTTCTGGTTCTGAGGATCTTTGACGGCGCCCCTGACTGATCAGATTGAGATCGTAGAGTCCCTCTCCCTTGACAAATGTCAACAATCTCAGGCTCAAGCCTCAGTTTCCTCATCTGACAACTGGAAGCTGTAAACTTTGCAAAAATGCTACCCAGATAAGGGACTATGTACTTACTTAGCAAGCACAGAATCAGTAATATGTGCCATTCTAAACACTTTCTAATATTACTCATTGACCCTTCCTAATATCCCTAGGAGGTAGACACTGGTAGTATTCCTATTTTATCAAGGGGAAACTGAGGTACAGAGAGGCACTTGGCACATTTAATCCTAGTAGATGCTAAGAACATCATAGCTACTGTATGCTTAGATGTAAAAGTTTCCAGGAGATGTAAATAAAATATTTTCCATGATCTTTGTGCTTCCCCACCCCCACTTTCGGAGCTCCCAATCTGGAGCATATACGTGTCCTTATAGATTCTCAGTAAAGAATTATTCAATTGAGTCATGTGGCACCAATAAATACAACCCACCTCCAGAGCGTGAGGATAACTGAGAGTCTTGCAGTCATCCCTATCAAAATTCTAACAGCATATTTCACAGAAATAGAAAAAGCAATCCCCAAATTCTTATAATACCACAAAAGACCCAAATAGCTAAAGAAATCTTGAGAAAGAAGATTGTAAACTATATTACAAAGCTATGGTAATCAAAACAGTATAGTACTGGCATAAAAACAGACACATAGACCAATGGAATAGAATAGAGTACCCAGATAAAACCCAAATAAAACCACACATATATGGTCAACTAATCTAATCCTTGACAAGGATGCCAAGAATACACAATGGCGAAGGGATAAATAAATGGTGTTTGAAAAATTGGCTATCCAATGCAAAAGAATAAAACTGAACTCTTACACCACTCACAGAAATCAACTCAAAATGGATTAAAGACAAATATAAGACCTGAAACCATAAAACTCCTAGAAGAAAACATAGGGGAAAGCTCCCTGGCATTGATCGTGGCATTGATTTTTTTGGATATAACACCAAAAGCACAGGCAACAAAAGCAAAAATAAACAAATGGGATTACATCAAACCAAAAGGCTTCTGCACAGCAAAGGAAACCATCAACAAAACTAAAAGGCAACCTGCAGAATGTGAGAAAATATTTGCAAACCATATATCCAATAAATGGTTAACATTCAAAATATACAAGGAACTTTCACAACTCTATAGCAAAAAAATAAACAAACAATAAGAAAACGCCCAAATAACCCATTTTTAAAATGGGCAAAGGACCTCAAAAGACATTTTTCCAAAGACAACATACAAATGGCCAACAAGTACATGAAAAGGGGCTTAACATCACTAATCATCAGGGAAATGCAAGTCAAAAGCAGAATGAGATATCACCTCACACCTGTTAGGATGGCTATTGTCAAAATGACAACAGATACGTATTGACAAGGGTGTAGAGAAAAGTGAATTCTTGTGCACTGTTGGTGGGAATGTAAATTGGTACAGCCATTATGGAAAACATTATGGGGGTTCCTCAAAAAACTAAAAAGTAGAACTACCATGTGATCCAACAATCCCACTACCAGGTATATATCCAAATGAAATGAAATCAGTATCTCAAAGAGATATCTGCACTCCATGTTCATTGCAGTGTTATTCATAATAGCCAAGATATGGAAACAACATAAATGTCCCTCTATAGATGGATGGATAAACAAGATACGGTTTGTACATACACATAATGGAATATTATTCAGCCGTAAAAAAGAAGGATTACCTGCCATTTGGAACTACATGGATGAATCTGGTGGACATTATGCTAAGTGAAATTAGCCAGACAGAGAAAGATAAATACTGAATGATCTCACTTACATGTGAAATATTAAAAAGTTGAACTCATAGAACCAGAGAGTAGAACCATGATTACCAGGGGCTGGGGGCTGGGGGAAATGGGGAGAGGTTGGTCAAAGGGTACAAACTTTCAGTTATAAGATGAATAAGTTCTGGGGATGTAATGTGCAGCTTGGCAACTATAGTTAATAATACTCTATTGCAGTCTTGAAACTTGCTAAGAGAATACACCCTCAGTGTTCTCACCACATGGAAAAAAGAAATAACTATGTGAGGTGATAGACGTGTCAATTAATTTGACTGTGGTAATCACTTCACAATGTATACGTATATCAAACCATCACGTTGTACACGTTAAATACATACAATTTTTATTTGCCAATTATACCTTGGTAAAGCTGGGGGTCGGGGGGAGTCTTGCAGTTAAAGGAGAGGGTACTGCACAGCTACAGGACCACAAGGGAACTCGTATTTGTCTAGCCTCTACTCCGCATCACATCCCCGTGGGGTTTGGATTACAATCCCCACTCTATAGCTTGTGAAAAATGAGGCTCAATTAAAATCTATGGTCACCCATAATAAGTAGTAGAGCTTCATACTCCAAAGAGTTTCCCCCAGACCCAGTCCACGTGGACTCTGGGTGGGGGGAGGAGCATCTAGCCTTCAAGAGATCATTTCCTTATTGCGGGGGGGGTGTCTCTCCCACCTGGGATATAATAGGTCCAATTCATGAGAACCAAACAGTACACTTACACCTCAGCTGTGGCTTAACAGAGGGAAAAATAATTTCCCTCCTATGCTGAAAAATAAAATTAAATTAAATTAAAAGGGGGCTTCCCTGGTGGCGCAGTGGTTGAGAGTCCGCCTGCCGATGCAGGGGACGCGGGTTCGTGCCCCGGTCCGGGAAGATCTCACGTGCCGCGGAGCGGCTGGGCCCGTGAGCCATGGCCGCTGAGCCTGCGCGTCTGGAGGCTGTGCTCCGCAACGGGAGAGGCCACAGCGGTGAGAGGCCTGCGTACCGCAAAAAAAAATTTAAAATAAAAATAAATAAATAAAAAGGTATCTTTATTACAAACTATATATTTAACACATTTTACCGTGTTAAAACGTTTTTAAAAGACTGAGAAAAAAAGATCTCATAAAGCAAACAAGGGTATTATTTATCTTTCCATTTAACCTTACTGCAATCAATTTATTCAAAACACTAACCTTTTCTGAGACTTTGGCTCAGACTATTTTCTTATTATACATCCACCTCCGTGGGCGTATGCATCTGTATTTTCATGAACCTCTAACTAAGATGCAGCATTTCCTTCCATTAAGACTGCAGACAAAAAATTACACGGTGGTGTATTCACAGTACCTATGACCTGCAGATACCTCAAAATATCTAATGTATTAATAAAGAAGCACATGTATGCCACAGTATCACAACTGTTTTACTATTTTGACAGCTGGATTTCAGTATAATTAATTACCTCTAAAATCTGTGTTTTATGTCATCAATTCATTATTCAGAGAAACGGTCATGAGTTTTGCCAGACAGCCAGAAGATTCTACGGTTTCAAAAAGCTAAGAACCCCACCTCCACATGAAGTCTTCCTTCTCTGCCAGGGGCTTCCAAAGAGGAGACCCCAAAAGACTTTTGTGACTTATTTTTTTTAACATCTTTATTAGAGTATAATTGCTTTACAATGTTGTGTTAGTTTCTGCTGTATAACAAAGTGAATTAGCTATATATATACATATATCCCCATATCCCCTCCCTCTTGCGTCTCCCTCCCACCCTCCCTATCCCACCCCTCTAGGTGGTCACAAAGCACCAAGCTGATCTCCCTGTGCTATGCAGCTGCTTCCCACTAGCTATCTGTTTTACATTTGGTAGCATATATATGTGTCAATGTTACTCTCTCACTTCGTCCCAGCGTATCCTTCTCCCTCCCCATGTCCTCAAGTCCATTCTCTGTGTCTGTGTCTTTATTCCTGTCCTGCTCCTAGGTTCTTCAGAACCATTTTCTTTTTTTAGATTCCATATATATGCTTTAGTATATGGTATTTGTCTTTCTCTTTCTGACTTACTTCACTCTGTATGACAGACTCTAGATCCATCCAAAACAAATAACTCAATTTTGTTTCTTTTTATGGCTGAGTAATATTCCATTGTATATATGTGTCACATCTTCTTTATCCATTCATCTGTTGATGGGCACTTACGTTGCTTCCATGTCCTGGCTATTGTAAATAGCGCTGCAGTGAGCATTGTGGTACATGACTCTTTTTGAATTATGATTTTCTCAGGGTATATGCCCAGTGGTGGGATTGCTGGGTCATATCATAGTTCTGTTTTTAGTTTTTTAAGGAACCTCCATACTGTTCTCCATAGTGGTTGTATCAATTTATATTCCCACCAACAGTGCACGAGGGTTCCCTTTTCTCCACACCCTCTCCAGCATTTATTGTTTATAGATTTTTTGATGCTGGCCATTCTGACTGGTGTGAGGTGACACCGCATTGTGGTTTTGATTTGCATTTCTCTAACGATTAGTGATGTTGAGCATCCTTTCATGTGTTTGTTGGCAATCTGTATCAAATCGGAAAAGAAGTAAAACTGTCACTGTTTGTAGATGACATGATACTATACACAGAGAATCCTAGAGATGCTACCAGAAAACTCCTAGCGCTAATCAATGAATTTGGTAAAGTAGCAGGATACAAAATTAATGCACAGAAATCTCTGGCATTCCTATACACTAATGACGAAAAATCTGAAAGAGAAATTAAGGAAACACTCCCATTTACCACTGCATCAAAAAGAATAAAATACCTAGGAATAAACCTACCTAAGGAGACAAAAGACCTGTATGCAGAAAACTTTTGTGACTCTTTAGGCTAATCGGAGGCCCAGCGTCTCTCAGCTTCTGTCCTGCCCCCTCACCACCTGCATCATTCATGCTGAAAGAAATTGCAGTCGCATTGAGCTTGCATCCTGCCCACCACATTAACCTCCGGAACCAATTTTCCCCCATCAGACTTGCTCCACCCACTTACCTTTTGAAGACCAGGGAAAGCGCCAGCCTCTTCAGTCTTTCAAAGGGAGGCTTTGAGTTGATGAACTGGATTTTTATACTCAAAGGGAAGATCAGATTTCATCTGCAGAGTCCCTGGGCAGCAAGGAGCACAGCTCACAAAGTCCCCTGGCAGCAAAGTGTTTTCTGTAGATGGGCTCACATTCCCCTCCATATAGCAGCGGGAAATGCCGCCCCAGCACACTTCTGATGAGGTTAAACCCAGACTTAAAGTTTGTTCCATCACAGGCAAGGAAATCTTCCTTCCTTGAATCACCTGACCCAGATCTTCGAGTAACCTGCCCTCCAGGGAACTTTGGTGTGATGCTTCCACAACCTGGGATGCTCGCTCGGGGCTGGGGGGTCACAAGACTCAGGGTGGGGGGTGGGCAACCACTTAGCCAGTTTTGTTCTCTATGTCACCACCCCCACGGCTCATTCTCCAGGGTGTTTCCAAAGCCCTCTGGGAAGATGCAACCCAGGGCAGAGGACAGAGGGTCCTGGGTTAGCAATGGGAAGATTCTGGTTCAAGTCCAAGCTTTCCTCACGGCTGCATGCATCTGGACAGCAGCCCCAACACCTCTGGGTCTCAGTGTCCCCATCTGTAGAAGGAGGAGGGAAGATTGGATAATCCGTCTCTGGAGGCCTTGGGTACCACATCAACACCACTCAGTGAACGGCACCTGGGAGGTGCCGCCCACCACCAGTGCTGCCTGGCCTCATTTCTGGCTTTGCTTGATCAGACAGGTAGCCCCATTCGGGCCCCAGAGTCCACAGCCTTCTGCCATGAAAAGGAGCCCCTCCATGGAGGCAGGATGTCCAGGGGTCCTCAGCCAAAAGGGCCAGGAAGTGCTGGGGGTCCAGGGCTATGCTCAGTGACAGGTGTTGCTTCTCGCTGGTGTCTTAAACTCCCTCATCAACATGACTCCTTTCAGGGTCCTTCTGAGTCAAGGCCATGCTGGCCCAGGCAAAGAAGTCTGGCCAAGGAGCCCTCTGAGAGCAGCAAATGGGGGAGGGTGGCATGTTAGTCCTGGGTCCCCCGGGAGGATCCTGGGACTAAGCACACTGGGATACCCTTTGAGGATAACAGTATATGGGGAATCATGGCCCTTAGAGATCCCTCATGCAAATGCCTTAGTTTTCAGCAGAGAAGGAGGCAGAGAGGCGAAGGGCCTTGCACGGGGTCACACGGTACTGTCAATAGCACAAGAACCTAGTCTTTCTCTCCCTTCCTTTTTTTTTTTTTTTGCAGTACGCGGGCCTCTCACCACTGCGGCCTCTCCCGTTGCGCAGCACAGGCTCCGGACGCGCAGGCTCAGCGGCCATGGCTCACGGGCCCAGCTGCTCCGCGGCATGTGGGATCTTCCCGGACCAGGGCACGAACCCGTGTCCCCTGCATCGGCAGGCGGACTCTCAACCACTGCGCCACCAGGGAAGCTCTGCATCAGCTCTTAGTTGCAGCACCTGGGATCTTTTAGTTGCAGTATGCGGACTCTTTAGTTGTGGCATGTATGTAGGATCTAGTTCCCCAACCAGGGATCGAACCCAGGCCCCCTGCATTGGGAGCATGGAGTCTTACCCACTGGACCACAGGAAAGTCCCTATTTATTTATTTATTTATTTATTTATTTATTTATTCTTTTTCTGATTCTTTTTCATTATAGGCTATTACAGTATATTGAATTTAGTTCCCTGCGCTATACAGTAGGTCCTTGTTGTTTATCTATTTTATATACTGTAGTGTGTATCTATTAATCCCAAACTCCAAATTTATCCCTCTCCCCCTCTTTCCCCTTTGGTAACCATACGTTTGTTTTCTATGTCTATGAGTCTGTTTCTGTTTTGTAAATAACTTCATTTATATCATTTTTTTAATTCCACATATAAGTGATACAATATGATATTTGTCTTTCTCTGTCTGACTTACTTCACTTAGTATGATCATCTCTAGTTGCTGCAAATGGCACTATTTCATTCTTTTCATGGCTGAGTAGTATTCCATTGTGTATATACATAATCTTTTCAAATTAGAGTTTTCATCTTTTCTAGATTTATGCCCTGGAGTGGGATTGCTGGATCATATGGTAACTCTGTTTTCAGTTTTTTAAGTAACCTCCATACTGTTCTCCTTAGTGGCTGTACCAGTTTACATTCCCACCAACAGTGTAGTAGGGCTCCCTTCTCTACACCCTCTCCAGCATTTATTATTTGTAGACTTTTTAATGATGGTCGTTCTGACCGATGGGTGTTGTCGCTATTTTTAATTTTAGCCACTATGATAGGTATGTAGTGATATCTCATTGTGATTTAAATTTGCATTTCTCTAATGGCTGATGAGATTGAATCTATTTTCATGTGTTTATTTTTCCACCTTTCTATCTTTTTCAGTGAAATCTCTCCAAGTTTTTTTCAGTTTTTCCTGAAAACTCTGATTGGAATAGAGAGGTTTATTCAAAAAGTCTCTGTGATGCTTGGATCCCCCTTTTCTGGCCCTTCGGCTAGAAAGAGCAGGCTTTTGTGGGGCTTTTTGTCTATTTTCTTGGTGGGTCCAGGTTTCTAGCTTCAACTCCAATTCTTGGAAATATGAGGCAAAGAGAAAACCCTGGGAACTCCCCACCAGTCCTTCCTTGGGTCCCAAGATCCCAAGCCAGTCTCCTTCTTCTCTCCACCTTTCAGAGTCTTTTCGTGTTTGTTTTACATACCATGTCCAGGGTGTTTAATTGTACTTAGTGGAAGTCACTGGGAAAATGCAACAACTAATCTACTTTCCAGAAGCAGACGCTTCTCTGGATTATGCTTTTCACATCTCTGTGCCTTTGCATATGCTGTTCCCTCTGTCAAGAACAACCCTTCCCTTCCTTTCTTTGAATAGTTATCTCCAACTTCACAGCTCAGCTCCTGCCCTCTCCACGAGGGTCCCTGACGCCACAGACCAGGTGAGGTGACCAATAGCATCCCTGTGCCTGGAGCACCGTAGTGACCAGACTATGTTAAGATTTTCTTTTTGTCCTTCTTGCTTTCTAGGCCATCAGCCCCTGGAGGGAAGGACTAAGTCCTGATGGACTGTGTGCCTCTAGCCCACACCACAGTGCCTGGTGCATAGCAGGCACTTGATAAATGTTTGTTGAGTGAATGAATAACATTCACTGCGGTCTTCCCTTTTGCCTTTGGGTGGTGCACAGGAATGAAGACAATGCACTTGACGCCGACCCCTCCTAGACTTTTATGGGTGATCTTGGGCAAATAGCCTGACCTCTGCTGACATCAGTTTCTTCCACATTGACTAATTAGCATGAACATGGGAATAACTATTATTATCAAAACCCACTATTTTTATCACTCAGTATGTGCTAGGCACTATGTTAATTGCTTCATCTTCATTATCTCATTGAAGTCTTAAAATAACTCAATGAATGCTAAGTGTAGTAAGTCAGAGAGACAAATACCGTATGTTCTCACTTATAGGTGAAACCTAAAAAAACCGAAGTCAGAGAAACAGAGTAGAATGGTGGTTGCTAGGAGCTGAGGGTGAAGGAATTAGGGAGATGTTGGTCAAAGGGTACAAACTACCAGTCATAAGATAAATAAGTTCTGGGGATGTAATATACAGCATAATGACTACAGCTAACAAAGCTGTAATACATACTGAAAGTCCCTAAGAGTAAATCTTCTTTTTAATGTATACTTATTATAGCTGATTTACCATGTTGTGTTAGTTTCTGCTGTACAGCAAAGTGATTCAGTTACACACATATATATATACATTCTTTCTCATATTCTTTTCCATGATGGTTTATCACAGGATATTGAATATAGTTCCCTGTGCTCTACAGTAGGACCTTGTTGTTTATCCATTCTCTATATAATAGTTTGCATCTGCTGATCCCAAACCCCCAGTCCATCCCTCCCCCACCCCCTCTCCTGCTTGGCAACCACAAGTCTGTCCTCTATGCCTGTGAGTCTGTTTCTGTTTCGGAGATAGGCTCATTTGTGTTGTATTTCAGATTTCACACATAAGTGATATCATATGGTGTTTGTCTTTCTCTTTCTGACTTACTTCACTTAGTATGATAATCTCTAGGTCCATCCATGTAGCTGCAAATGGCATTATTTCATTCTTTTTTATGGCTGAGTAGTATTCCATTGCGCGCACACACACACACACACACACACACACACCCCCCACATCTCCTTTATCCATTCATCTGTCAATGGACACTTAGGTTGCTTCCATGTCTTGGCTATTGTGAATAGTGCTGCTATGAACATAGGAGTGCATGTATATTTTTGAATTATAATTTTGTCTGGATATATGCCCAGGAGTGGGATTGCTGGACCATATGACAACTCTATTTTTGGTTTTTTGAGGAAGCTCCATACTGTTTTCCACAGTGGCTGCACCAGTTTACATTCCCACCAACGGTGTTAGAGGGTTCTCTTTACGAGAGTGAATCTTAAACGTTCTCAACACAAGAAAAAAAATGGTAATGATGTGAGGTGATGAAAGTGTTAACTAGCTTTATCGTGGCGATCATTTTGCAATATACGTATGTGTCCAGTCATCCTGCTATACACCTTAAGCTTACACAATGTTATGTGTCAATTATATCTCAATAAAGCTGGGGGAAAAGAAAGAAAGAAAGGGGCAAAGATAAGCCAAGGAGTTGAGTTCTAGTACCTCCACTGCGCGTGTAAAGAGCCCTAGGCTCCGTGAGGCTGATGAACTACCCTTAGGCACAGAGTAAGTGTAAGAAAAATGTAGGCCAGGAGTCAAACCTGGATCTCTCGGCCTCTGTCGAGAGAGGAGGTTCAGATGAAATTCCACAAGATGTTTCTCCTGAACGTAAATTGGATCAATTCACACACCGTCCTGGGATGCTTGCCATATGCTAGGAGTTGCAGATTTGCTTAAATCTCCAAAGTTACAAAGATTGCAATCAAAATCAGATAAAGATTTCAGAGGTGCTTAAAGCATTAAAAGGGAGGGGATGGGAAGGAGAATAACTGCCTCTCACAGAGTGTCTCCCTCTCGATCCTCTCCACGGCCCTGCGGGGGTGTTCTTGCTGTCTTCACTCTCCAGAAGAGGAACTGTGCTCTTAGGGAGGGGAAACAGCAGGCCAGAGGCCAAAGGACAGTAAGCACTGCAGCCAGGTCCGGAACCCAGGACCATCTGTCTCCAACAGATACATGTACCATATCGTGATAGTGGTCTTAGTCCAAGAAATGAAGAAACCAGAGGTCAGGCCTCATCCTGAGGTCCCTGTAGATTTAAACCTATGGAGTGTGATGAGTTAAGTATCCAGATTCTGGAAGTCCTGGGCTTGCGTCCCAGCTCTACAGGCTGTGCTATAGCTTCTGTAACGTCCCAATGTCCTCATCTATACGATGCGATGACAAGAGAGCCATTGGCTCAAGAAGGCAATGTGTGAGGCCATCTGGCATATCCCTGGCACACAGCAAGCTGTCCATCAATGGTATTGAGGGTATCCTGCTCGGCCCCATTGGGCCCAGTGCTGTGCCACAGCCCTCCCAGTCTAGAAGGCGTGACATGTGGCCTCCAGGAAATATGACATCTGGTTGGAGAAACAGGCAATGGAACAG